GTATAACCCTGGATCATAAATTATCTTGGTCTAAACAAATTGATAATGTTGTATGTAAAATGGGAAGGGGTGTGTCAGTTGTAAAAAGAATTGTGAAATATTTGCCTATGGATGTCAGTAGACAGGTTTTGGATGCTTTGGTTCTGTCGCAGTTTGATTATTGTTTGGTTATATGGTCTAGTGCTGCTGAAAAAGATTTAAACAAACTACACGTAGCACAAAATAAGGCAGCACGATGTGCACTGCAGTGCTCCTACAGAACCAGAGTCACTGAAATGCTGGAGACATTGAAATGGTTAACTGTCAGACAGAGGTCAAATTATATTTTATTAGATTTTGTCAGAAATATTACAGTGACTCACTCACCAGATATATTATCACAAAGGTTTATAGCGCAATATGCACAACATAACTATCAAACACGACATACAATAGAAGGAAGGTTTGTATTACCCAAATCTAAATCAAATATGGGACAGAAAACAGTCATGTACAGAGCCATGATCAGCTGGAACTCTTTACCGGTTCACATCATTCAAGAACATTCTCAAGTACATTTCAAAAGGTTGCTAAAAAATTATTTAAGTATTATAAAGTACATTTGAACTGTGCCTGTGGCTATGTATGCATATATTATGATGTAAACTTATTTGTATTTACTTTTGTTTGGCCTTAGGATGGCGATAATTGGATGACCATTTTAGTTTTCACTTCATTTCACTGTAAATTGCATGCAATGATGAGCTGTTTTGTTTTGTTTTAATTTTGTTTTGTTTTGTTTTAATGTTGTTGTATGTGTTTATGTATGTTTTGAGTGTGTGAGGACCCCAGGAAGAATAGCCAATGCTCATGCTAGTGCTAATGGGATCCTAATAAAGACAAGACAATTTTCTGACGCTGCGTGAGTTCCCCGACACACCGGGGACACATATTTATGTATACAAGACATCACAAAGTGCATTTTGTATGATAGGTCCCCTTTAAATAACAATTAAACTAGTATTGTCTAATGACTACCTATCTAGAATGTGCTTGCAAATCACACAACAATTATATGTTGGTCTTTTTAGGCTTTATGGGACTTATAAGCAAATATAACATGTAATTCATCACTGTCCTGAACTTTACGGTAATATCACAATATTAACCCATACTCATGATGTCTATAGCACAACATGGAGAAGCACACTTAGTAGATGTACGTTTATTAAAAGTACAGAATAATGTCATAATAAAAAAAGTTAGCATTTTATAAGCAGAATTTCTAGTTATATTTTATAGTTGTGTGCTATTGCAATTAGTCAAATATAGATTTTTCGAGTAGTAAAACAAAATAACAAACAATAATCAATTTATTGTTGAAGTAATTATGTTTGTTATTGACTGTTTTCTAAACAGCAAATGTCCAATTGTAGCTTAGCAACCAACAGCTTTAACAGCTCAGTCTTTTAGCATTATGTCATGTGATGCACATTGAGATAAGATAGTGCCTGTGTCGGCCACTGTGTGACGTAAGCGAACAAATTGTTTAAAAAATAACGAATCATTTCCGCCATCATCTCTGTAAACTGCATATGTGCTGTGAGAGAACAGAAAGGCATAGCAACCGTAACCAACGCTGACGGGGCTTTATGGTCTATCTGCTGTTTCTTTGTGTTTGATGACGTTGTCCATTGTTTAATGAGCAGTTTAAAGGCGTCAACATTGGGTGAGCACAACTTTTAATACAGGCATTTTTCATTATGTTATGCCATTAAAGGCGGGTGACAACTGTTAACTAAAACATCTATCATTTAATTAATTGATTTGGAAGTTTTAGCCCCTATTTTAGATGTGATTAGATTACATTTAACTTTCATTTCATTGCACAGAGTACTGGGACACCAAGATGCAGTTAGCATCAAACCACAAGAGTGAGAGAGGTAGTAAAGTGAAGTGTAATGTAGGGTATCATTTACATATACAGTATAAATACGATAGATATACAAACTGAAAAGTATATACAGCATGAACAGTATTAATGAGGTCGTAGAAATATAGACATTATAGACACTACACAGAATAAAGATTAAACACTATAGACCAGTATTAACACTTTTTATACATACTATGAATAAATAGGAGTACGCTATACAAGATATAACCAGTTTTATAATTAAAATAAGTCAATCTGACCAAATACTCAAAAGGAATATTATTGAGATGTGTTCACTCATAACAGGAGGAGTATCAGTGGTGGTAGTGATATAACAGTTATAAATATGAGTATATACGCAAAAGAAGCTATACCTAGTTTGGAGAGTTTTATAAATAAAATGAGTAAATATGACTAATTTGCAAAAGGACTATTAGTAACACATGTGCACTTTAAACAGAACAGAGGACACAGTAGTTTAAAATGTATAGAAATGTCAGTGGTAGCAAATATCTGTCGGGATAGTAGCAGTGTTGGTGTGAGCCGTGCTGCAGTGTGGAGGGTGTTAGTATGCAGCTTGCTGGCACTGGCCTCATGAAGCAGCTCATTAGCCGGCGGAGCGACAGGGTCAGTTGCTTTAGCTTGATATTGTGTGTCGGTATCAAATAGCTGAGAACAGGTGGGGGATTATAATCATGGTTGCACAACTAATAATACCAACTGCTTAGAACATCAGATACCACATAGACAATAGACAATCATAGCTAAAAGGGAAAGCAAGCGCTGTGACAGCAATGCTATCAACACAGACTTTACTGTCTTTGTTTTATCTGGAGCAAATCCAGTCAAACGCATTTGATCTACAGTGCGGGAGCATTGGGAAATAGGCGTAAGGAAAACAAAAGAGCAGTGGCAGAGGAGAGAAAAAAGGCAAGGCAACGGAGTCGGGGTGAAAAACATTTTCTCTGCTCTGCTTTGTCAACTTCAGAGTGCCATCTCCCGATAGTCATTAAATAAGTTGTGTTGTTGTTTTAATTATCGATAGTAAAGCAATCTGTTCATAATTACAAACATTTGCTTGTGGCAATTACAAACAGTGGCTGGTAGCAGTTTAATTTGCCCGCTCTAATCTTGTCTGTAATTAGAGCACACACAAGCAGAGCACCAGAGTTGTTCAGCTCCAAGGCAAACAAGACAAGACTGAAATTCCCATTATAACAAACTGCTGACTGCCTGCAGCACACACACTCGCCAGCCCCTCAGTGCAAACATTGTGTACATTTAAATCCATTTGTTTGGCTCCACAATGCCAATGCACTGATGTGGCAGTTTCTCATTTCACCATCTCGGTAAAAAAAGAAAGTCAAATCAAATTGGAAATATATTTCCTGATATTGCACCACAGCGCCAAAAGGGACTTTGAGTTGTGTTTATTCATGCTGAAAAAAGGCTCATCTTAGATCATAAAACCTAGTCAATACAGTATGAGCTGCAAAGTGCACAAGCAGGCATAAACATGGTTATCATTATCATAATACTAAATCAAGCTCAACTGCTTACACTCGCTGAATTTAAGAGCTGCATGTTTATGGATGAAGTCAACACAACACTGTGTTTGTGTGCGGTGTTAGTGTGTGTGTGTGTGTGTGTGTGTGTGTGTGTGTGTGTGTGTGTGTGTGTGTGTGTGTGTGTGTGTGTGTGTGTGTGTGTGTGTGTGTGTGTGTGTGTGTGTGTGTGTGTGTGTGTGTGTGTGACCACATGCTAAGTACATCTGAGGAGTGTTTTTATGAGCTGTCCTCTCTGTGAAATGAGAGCGACTAGATGTTTGGCTGCAGCCTGTTTTTAGTCGCAGATTAGGAAGCGATTATTCACGACAATTGCCGGGTTCCATGTGAGTGAGAGCCCGGGTAAATATGGGCTCTTTTTCTGTTTGTACAGTAATTACAGTACAGATCTCTGTGCGGGTGGGAGGGCGTGAGTTTCTGTGTTTCTGAATCAGCCTCCACCCTGACTGTGGTCTCTCTCTCTCTCTCAGGGGGGGTGAAGCTGGGGCTCGGAGACTTCATCTTCTACAGCATGCTGGTGGGCAAGGCCTCGGCCACAGCCAGCGGCGACTGGAACACCACGCTCGCCTGCTTCGTGGCCATCCTCATCGTGAGTTCTTATTTCAGCGTCCAACTCGCGCCACCGCAAAACCTCCAGCACTTGATTTGTATAAGGGCTTTGTTGTTGCTCGCCTGTGCCCCCGCAGGGCTTCTGTCTCATGACATTACTCTGTGGTAGCCGAGTTGCTAGCTCAAAGTCCTATTGTGAACCCGGAAATGATGAGTATCCCAAAGTTTTATGATAAAAATGTTTAGTACGGGTCCCCACACAAAGACACTGCCGGATGCTAACTTGCATATGT